TGTTGGCCTACTCTAATGTGGGGTTGGGAGGGAGGGAGACAGGATGGTAACTCAGAACTCAAAACATAACAAAAAATAAATAGAAAAAATAGAATTGTAACCCAAGTGACATGAGTTTAGCTAAGTAAACTCACAAGGGCAAGGAGCAGTGAGGGGGAATATTAAATAGCTTGATTAAGTCTCAACCAGATAGAATTAAAAATTGATTTTCAATTTCATGTATGTGCTACTTCTTGTTCCCCTTGCCCATTATATGTCCCGCCATCATGCCTTTGCATAGACTGTTTCCTGTGCCTGAAAAGCCTTCCCTCCTCACTTCTACTTCTGAGAATCCCCAGCTTCTTTCAAAGCTCAACTCAAGTGTCACCTCTTCCAGGAAGCCTTTCCTGACACACAGTTGGTGCTCTCCCCACACACCCAGAAATTCCTTCAGATATAATTTTCAGTGCACATGTAGTTTCTTCCCAATAGAATATAAGCTACTTGAGGGCAGGAAATGTTTTGGTTTCGTGTACCTGGTGCCTCACACAATTCCCAACATACAGAGGCACTGAAACTGTGTTGAAGGACTACCACAAAACTGAATAATGTGTAATTATAATGAAGAAGCTCAGCCCCTAAGAGAGAAAATGCATCTTTCTACTTTTGTGGGAGATGACAGGGACTCTGGGTATGAAATGTTTAAATGTCTGTCTGTCTGTCTGTATGCATGTACATATATATATATATATATATAAGCACACATATACACAACATACATATATGTATCTGCATAAATATACATGCATGCATGCATATATATATACACACACCTACACATATATACCTATACATATATATATATGCATATACATGTATATACGTGTCAGGATGTCAGTGGATTTCTCTCCGTTACCAGGGAAGGTTTAGTGAGGACAGAAGAGTAGAGGAGTATATTGGGCAATGAATGTGATATTAAAGCAAGTCAAGTCAACAAGCATTTATAAGTACCTACTAAGTGCCAAGCACTGGGCTAAGTGCTGTGGATATAAAGAAAGGCAGAGCCCCTTGCCCCCCCCAACACCCAGTCCCTGCTTTCAAGTATCTTAAGTTTACTGGGGGAAACAACATAGGAACAGCTACAGACAAACAAGGCACATGCAGGATAAATTGGGGATAAAAATGGATAGCCTCAATTTTTACAGTGAAGAATGAAGTCTTCTGCTGAGAGGGGTGGGGAGGGGGATGATTTAGTAAACTACCTGTTCTACTCCATTTCTTCCATCAGTTACCCAGTGCTAGCCATAAGCAGGGCATAGAACACCACTTTACTTAACAATTCTGAATCTAGGTCTACCAGATACATTTTAGTTCTATCTACCTACACCTTGTTTGGCCCTCTCTCCAACAAGGCTCTGCTAAAGGACCCCGAGCCCCAGAACAGGGCTGACAGCTGCAGACCTGGCATGTGGACACTTGCCGACAGGTTTGCAAAGTGTGGCTGTCTGGACCTGCCCCCCTCGAATTCCACTTGCCTTAGGGTAGTAGTGTCTAAACCCAATGGCAAGCAAGTGCAGAGAGAAGTAATCTTTGAGTCAGAGATGTGGTAAGGCAGGGGAACAAGATATTCCTGAAACTCCTCACAAACCATCATGTTGGTAGGCTGAATTATAGGGCTGCAGATGTTTTTTGGGATGAGTCCCCAAGTGATTTGCAACAAAGCCACTATCAAAGTTGTGTCCAGACATTACAGCAGTTAAATCTCAAAACACTGACCATTCCATATCCGAAGTGTCTGGACCATCCCCTTTAAAATTCAGCTCGATAGAGTTGGAGACCAGGGTTCAAAATTGGTTTTGATGTTCATCTCTTTGAGCCTCAGATTTCTCATCTGAAAAATGAGGATACTACTAATTTCTCTGCTTACTTGCACATGTTTTTTTCCTCCTCCTTACATAAAATGTAAGCTCCTTGAGGGCCAGGACTGCTTTGTGTATGTCTTTGTATTTGCACAAGCTTTCCCCCACCTTCCCCACCAACATAGTGATGGGTTTGGGATCTGCTCCCCAGAAAGGAAAAACCCTGGACTTTTCCTCTTGGCCTGAGGCTATAATCCCATCAACTGGCCTTTCATTGTGGCTACACCCAGTCTCCCAATTCTATTAACCTAGCCTGGCCTTCCTTTGTCTTACCTCCCTTTGTATGACCCCCGGTCATTTCCCACCCTTAATCCTAGCTAGGCTTCATTCTCCCTTGACCGTGAGGTCCAGGTCCCAGGAGTTCTGTTCACCCCAGTTTACTGGCCACTCCTAGGTCCCTCCCACAAGGTCCACCTTGTCTCCATTAAGATACTTAGATTCTTATATAATTTAGCCACTGCTCAGATTCCTAAAATCTAGCCACTGCTGGGATTCTTATAATCTAGCCACTGTTTAGATTCTTAAAATATAGCCCCTGGTCAGATTCTTATGATCTAGCCAATAGCTTACTAATGTTCAGACTCCTTAAGAATCTGCCCAGTATATTCTAATAAACCTTATCTTTGGCTGAAAGAAGGCTTGGGTCGAATTCTTTCAGCCAGGACCCACGTATTGTGATTTTGGGGTTCCAGGACCCCTGAAGCCCCTAAACCGAATCAATAGTGCTTGGTATGGTCTGTGCTTAAGAAATAGTTGGCTTATCTACTTCACAGTGTGGTTTTAGGGAAAATACTTTCCACCTTCAAGTATTATATAAACATAGATTGTTGTTAATAGTTCTGGAGGTGCCCTAGATCAGTCTGACATAAAGGCAGCCATGTAATGAAGCTGGATAATTGAAAAGCCACAAAAATCCTGCTTTCTCCCAATCCTCCTTTCTTAGCCCCCTTCCCTTTGAATCTCTCCTCTCAGCTCCTCCCTTGGCTTATCTGTGTTATCCCGGGCTTATTGGCTTATCATGGATCTGGGTTCTGTGGTAATAGGATCAGTAGCTAGTGGTGGGTTTTTAAATGTATCGAGATATATATGTATATATGTATTTGTTTGTTTGTTTTGTTTTTTGGTGAGGCAATTGGGGTTAAGTGACTTGCCTAGGGTCACACAGCTAGTAAGTGTCATGTGTCTGAGGCTGGATTTGAACTCAGGTCCTCCTGACTTCAGGGCCTTTGCTCTATCAACTGCACCACCTAGCTACCCCGTATGGATATATTTTGTTTGGACCCAGCAATCGCTTCTTACTAACCTCTCCCTTCCCCTACTCCCATCCCTGATACTTTCCCTTAGAAAAGTTAAGCAAAGCCATCTAATACAGTGATGGTGATTGTTGGCACATATAACTTTCCACTCTTACAGGAAGGGAAAGTATGTTTTAACATGTAACAGAAAAGAAGTGTTGTAATTCATTCATCTGGAACCAACATTTAACCCATGGAATTCTTTCTGGGGTTCTTCTTCTCGGCATCTTTACTATGGAACACTGCTAGGGGGAAGTCTGGAGTTTTGTGATAGAACTTTCAAAATAAAACTCAAGCTTTCCGTTTTGATAGAGTCCCTGGGTGAGGACAGAGGAGGGCTCTTAGAGTTAATGACAGTGTAAAAGCAGGAAAACCTGGTTGCCCGAGTAGTTATAATTAAGCTGCCATTCAGGTAGTTTGTACACATGCATTCTATGAGCCTCCTCATGCCTACTAATTATTATTGCCTTTGTGGATGTCCTGCAATCCCGTCCCATGCTTCCTTGCTTCCATACCTTTGTTTATGCCATTAAGTCTAGAATGGCCTCTTCACCCATATTTGCCTTGAAATCCTCTCTATACTCCAAGGCTCAGCTCAAATGTCACTTACTGCATGATGTCTTCTCTCATATTCCCCTCTGTCTCCTCTTCTGAAAGTAATCTCTGAACTCTCAAAGTGCTTTGTACTTCTCTTATGCACTGTTTTGTGGTTTAGAATATAACTGCAATAGTGTAATTTCAGAGTGGCCGGTTCTGCCCCCTCCAGTCTTGCTAAGTGAAATTTAATGCTAAACTGCTTGTAAATAGCATGGTACTAGGGAAGGAGCACTGGGCACTGCCAGTGTGATTGTGGCGAAATCACTTCACTTTTCTGGGCCTCAGTTTCCCTATCTTTAAAATGAGGGGAGCGGGATCTGCTAGTGGACTTCTGGGCTCCATTCCAGCTTTAAGGATGAGAGCTGAAAGGCTATTACCCAAACTCAAATATGAGACAGGGCTAAAGGAGTTGCTACTGAGGTAGACGACAAGGTGAATTTGAGACAGATTTGCCCAGAGGGATTTCGTCTACTGCCGGCTGGGTGTGGCTATGGGTCAGATTCACAAGAGAACTGAACGAGGTCATCTCTCCAAAGATTTGCAGCCATTCTTCTATAGGGAAAAGGCAATCAATATAGCAGTTGCAGTTCAACAGAGAAACAGGAGATGGCAGTAGGAGTTCAGGAAATCAGATCAGCAACTCAATGGGGAAAGCAGCAAGTGGAAGGTCATTTTACAGGTATTCTGCTTGGGATGAAGCATTAGGAGAATGAGTTTTCTGGGTTGAGCATGTACCTTCTCCCGCTAGTGGCAAACAAGGAGGTGTTTCTGTATTTGTTGGTGGGAGGGGTTCCTTGTTATTTACCTTTTTAATTGCTTTTAGTGTGTTCTCTGGTGTGGTCTGGTGAAAAACAGCATTCAATAGGCCTCATGAGCTGCAGTCTTTAATAGCTGCTGAATCAAAGTATAGCTTAAACCTGGGTATAGCTTTTTCATGGGGCTCAAACTACATTTTGTACTTATTAGCATAGTTTCCGACTCCCTGACTAGATTGTGTGCTCCTTGAGAACAGGTGCCATATCTTTCATCTTCTTTCCTTCAGTGACTTGTACACAGCAGTCACTTAATAAGTGTTTCTTGAATGATCACTGTCAGTCAGCTGGCCCTAAAACTACAGAGGAGAGCTCAGTTCATTTTTGCTTGCCATCAAGCTTGCCAATGCTCATTCCTAATTCACCCATCTACTCCCCAAGTCCATGTTCAAGAAAAAAAAAATCCAAAAGGTACATTTTTATTTCACACACATGTTACATGCAATACCCATCCCCTAACAAACTACAAATTCTTGGAAAACAGTGTAAAAAGGAAATCCAACCCGTTTTGACAAGACAGAATTTTGGTTTCACAAAGCTAAAAAATGTATTACAAAGTCTCTGTTGTATAAATATAGTCAGTCTTATCTTTAAGGTACAATCACGCCAAAAAAAAAAAGTCAACCGAAAAAATCTTGTTGGGTGGCAGAAGAAATCCCCTGGTCCTTGAATTCATCGTAATTTTCATTTGTGTCCCCAGCCAAACATAGGAATTACTTACAAGATGACTAATTCTTGTGTCTCAGGACTTTGGGCATCCCAATGAGATTTTAAAGTCGATTCTCCTCAGAGAATTTGTGTAAAACTTAGCAAAAAAAAAAGGGGTGGGGGTGGGGGGCTTTCTCAGAAATCACTTCTAAAATACAACTGCATCTGTCCAAGATCGCTAAAGAGCTCAAGGAGTAATAGGATGGACGATGGCTACTAGTGACCCTGATGGTGCCCTAGGGTCCCACATAGACCCCCTGCCTGTACCCTGAGGAAAAGAGATCTTTGAAATGTTTTAACCAAATCGCTGGAGTTCAAGATTGTTCTGAGGGGGCCCAGACTTTGGCTACACATTGTGCAAATCAGGGGTGAAGAGGCTATGATAGTTCCCACTGGAGCTGTTTTAGAGAGTGGTCTGGGAGCTCTTTCCATGTCCTTTGAGGCAGAAGGGTAAAATACTATGAGAGAAAAAAGAGTGGCTGGGTGCTGTCAATGCCAAGCTCCCTACCAAAGAGAGAGGGCTAAGGGTATAGGAGTAAATGTAAGGGAGAATTACAGAGTCAAGTGTGTGCATTTCCTGGACGAATTTCCCGGGAGAATCATAGATCCTAAAGGAGGAAATAACCACAACAAATAGAGAACTTGTGTATCCACTGATAAACCCTACCCTCCCATCAAGGATCAATGAGGGTGGTCTAGAGTAGCATGGGGGTTTTAATGAAAGAATTTCTAGGTACCCCTATCATTATGGAGGACAGAGACATGACTTTTCGATAACCCATTCTGTACAAACAAATTAATTATCAACTGACCATTAAATAGTGCAGACAGAAAAAGTGGACAAGTGGGCTACTGGCCAAGGAACCATCATTGTCATCTCAAAAAGTATAGTGAAGGGAGAGTTGTCAGTGGTAGAGGGGATAAAATATAATTTTGACTCTTCTGGTTTCTTCAGCCTCTCTTCTTACAGGTTTAGTGAGTTATAGAATAAAACAAAGGGACAGAGCTAGAAAAACTGAATTTGGGCTTGTCTGTGTCCCTTAGGGGCCAGAGGGAGATGGCAGGGAAACAGAACTATGGAGGTGGAATCTTTCGGTAGAGTATAACATCAGGGTAGGGAATATATTTGACCAGATTCTTCAGTGAATTTCTTTATTAACTTTCTTATTTGGCTCCAGTGAGAACACCTCTGTGATAAGAAAGGGAAAAGTACCACCTAGTAAAAGGGAGAAGATCCTTAGAACAAAACCCCCTGGCTCCTTTTTGTGCTTCCTAAGAATGCTCCATGTTATACTTGCCACACCTGTCCTCTCCACTCCAGGCTCAACTTCATGTCCAGAGGAAAGGAGGCCTTTCTATTCAAGACATCATCAGTAAGAAAGGAGCTCAAGGGAACTCAGCTGACTTGGCACCTAGTTCCCCAAGGGGAAACTGAGAAAATGCAAGGAGAATTTGTGCCTTTAGATAAAGAGCTAGGAGAAGTCAGCTCCGTACTTAGCAAGAGAGAACATTTTTTTTTTCATTTTGGAACAATTAGAACCATTGGTGGATAAAGCTACACTGTGGGAAGCTGGGTCATTTTGACAAATAGAAATGCAAGCAAAGGAGCCATTGTACAGACAATTGTGGGTGTGTTTGGCAGGTTTGGGGTAAGCAGGGTGGGATGTTTGGGTGTGTATATAAAAAAATCTGAAATTGAAACATTTTATGATAAGGCCACATAAAGAATCTTCCAGCTGCAGGTGTGGGAGAGAGCTGAGCAGCCAAGTCACCGTGGGCTCACAAAACAATCTGCCTAGGTAAGGAAGCAGAAGGAGGCAGGTCTGGGCCCCTCACATGTCCATGTCTCCTGAGGATGTCTTCAATGGCACAGAGTCAAATCCATCTGGTGTCCTCTGAAAGAGAGACAGTGATTGGGGACGGCTGGCACCCTTGGGTCTTCTTCTATACCCAGCAGGAAGAAGCAGAAAGTCGGGGTTGAAGAGGAGAGAGGCATTGCAGGAGGGTTAAGGAATAGGAAAACTAATAGGTGGAAAAGGTGGAAGGGTAAAATGCCTGATTTCAGTAGCTATATAGAAACAAGAACTTTTGTCAGTATTTGAGCTTTGTACTTGTTTGGTTTTTTGTTGTTGTTTTGTTTTGCTTTGTTTTTCTCAAGGACACCTTTATTGATCAAGGCAATTAGAAAAGCCAGGGATAAAAGTTAAAAAGAAGTTTTTAAGAGAAAGAATAAAAGCTTCCTGCCTCATCAATCTAATTAAAATGAAACCCTTTTTTAAAAAATTTTATTAATTTACTTTGATTTATCAACAATCACTTCCATATGCTTTTGAGTTTAAAATGTTTCTCCCCCTTCCTCCCCACCACCCTCCCCAAGACGGCACACAATCAGATATGGGCTATACATTCACATTCCTATTAAACACCTTTAATGAAACCCTTTCTATGACATAATGTTGTACGTTTATAATGTGCCTCCCTACTTCATTCCCTCCCTGCCAAGTTCCTGGGATTGACTATTTTCCCACCAGAAAACAGACAAATAAACAACCAAACAAAAAAAATGAAGGCAGGGAAGATGAAGGGAGATGCCTAGCAAAGTGAACAGGATTCAGGAGTTCAGATTTTCCTTCCCTTCTCCACATCTTCAGTCCTCCCTGCCCCTTCCCATATGTTTGCCTCAGTTTCCTCAGCTGTAAGTGGGGATGATAATAAAGCACCTACCTCCCAGAGCTGTTATGAGGATAAAATGAGATAATATTTGTAATATGTTTAGCACAGTACCTGGCACATAGTTGCTGTTATATATATGTTGGCCGTTATTATTGTTATTGTTATCATATACACACATGCTACAGATGCTTTTAAGTCACTTGGCACGGGGCAGGAATTAGAGCACTTTGTAGAACTGTAGAAGCAGCTCGTGCTGGCTATGCCTTCTGTTTGGCTCCGTGCCCAGCCATAAGGTAGTGCCTGGTGTTCGCGTTTACGAGCATCAAGCTCGCCCTCTCATCCGCAGGTACCCTATCCCTCCCAACTCTGAATGGCTCACACAATGAACATCGCTGTAATTCTGCCCAGAAGGATTTGGCCAGGATGCCTTGAGGGACAGCACCCCCTGCTGGCTAAATAATGTGGTTTGTTCCCCCCTGCTTTGGACTAAAGCCAGGCTTTAGCTTGCGGAACTCTAATAAGGCTATTCTACATTTATAAAGTACTAGCTTTCTAAAAGGCCAGAGCCAGCCTAATTGAAATCAAACCCTCTGTACAATATAATTATATGGTCCTAATATGGGTTGGTTTATTTACGTTTCCAGAAGTTGTTGAGTCATACGAGAAACAGATTTTTTATTTAGGGCTAGAAGGGACCTCAGCGAGCTCAAACTGCGTCTACAAGACCCTGGGGGAGGAAGCACTATGCCCAGATGCAAACTGAAACCAAGATGGAGCCAGGGAGAGCTAGAGATTACACCACCATAGATTTATAGCTGGAAGGGAGTTTAGGGGTCATCTAGTCCAACCCCCCTCATTTTACAGATGAAGAAACTGAGGACCAGAGAGGGGAAGTACCTTGTACAAGGTCATAGAGGTAGAAAGCAGCATTGCTGGGATTTGAACTCAGATCTTAAGACTCTTCTTCCATTGAAGCATGCTGGATAAAACTGGCATTGCAGGAAAAGCATGTTTTAATTAAATTCAGGAAACCTGGGCTTGAGTCCCAATTCTTGTTGTTGTTTTTTTTGTCTAGGCAATGGGGTTAAGTGCCTTCCCCAGCATCACACAGCTAGTACATGTTATGTGTCTGAGGCTGGATTTGAACTCAGGTCCTCCTGAATCCAGGGCCAGTACTCTATCCACTGCGCCACCTAGCTGCCCCTTGAGTCCCAATTCTAACAATAGCAATATGGCCATCAGCAAATTATTTAGCCTCACTGCGCTTCAGTTTTCTTACATGTAAAATGGAGATAATAATAGTTGATATATAGTCTATAATAATCTATTGTATACGGTTGTTTTAGGGAAAATGCTTTGTAAAACATATAAATATTGGTTATTATTATATCTAGAGAAAGTTCAATGAATGAATAGAATGGAATGAAAAAAATGGAGGACAGAAAGCAAGGATGGGGATGTTAGGGGAAGCAGAACCATGGGTCACTGAGTAATTCTGGGTCACTCAGCTTTCTAAGAAGGTCATTCCTTCCTAGGACCAATGCCCTTCTCAGTCCAGCTCTGGCAATATGCCTTTGGTACTGTGTGGCTCGCCCAACCTACCTTAGAAGTGAATGACTTGATCTTCCCAAAGAGGGATTTTTTGCTGGTGAATATGAGATCATCCTCTACATCCTCACCCTCCATGATGGCGCAACTGTCAGCGGCAGGCAGATCACAGTCCTTAAGGGTGGCATTCATCACCAGCTTAGAATATTTGTACTCTAGTCTATGAAAGAGAAGAACAGGAAAACAACCCCATTAGTTTGGGTTGATGGAGTGTAAGCAAGCTGGGCTGGAGGCAATCATTTCCCTTTCATAGTAGGGGAAGGCGAGTCAGAAAGTAGAGGTGGCAAGGTTGAGAAGAGGCTGTGGTTATCTTGGCTCTTAATCCAATGGTCTGTTTTCTAACACTAACTGCCTTGGTGAATTTCAAAGCATAATATAAATATAATACTGTGGGAATAAAAAATATTCAGGGAAATAGAAAAATAAAAAAATAAGCATGTCCTGCACTTACTTTTTGTTTGAGGATCTCCCAGCTATTCAGATTTCTAATGCACTCCTGATGGTGATGGCCAATATTATCATCCTCACTTAAGAGGCATACAGAGAGAGGTTAGGTGGTTAGCCCTAGATTTACATGATCGAGGGCCAGCACAGGGAAAGATCCCAGCAATTCTGACTCCCAGGACATGAGATGCTCCCCAGCCTTCCGGTTCCATCCCCTTATCCTCCACCCCTAACTCAACCCAGATATCTAGTCATATACTTTTGGTTCTTTTTCCAGAAGTAACAGGTCATGACAGTGAGAAGAATGGCAGCACAGGTGCCAGCAGAGATGCCCACTTTGAGCCAAAAATCCATCGTCTTGCAGATGGTAACACTCTGATCAGGCAGGGAGATGCCTCCTGTACACAGCTTCGGCTCTCGCCACACATAAGTGGTTCTCTGTTGGGGAGGGAAATAAGGATTTTAGTGTCAGACCTTTACTATGTCTGGATTAGTGAATACTCCACCAGGCGACCTTACCTGGATACCGGCCACACAGCTACTGATGATAGCGTGGTAGTCAGAGCTGGAGCAGAGGGGGCAAGCTGTCACACTCTCCCACAAGAAGTGGAAGTTACAGCCATCACAAGTCCCATCGGAACATTTCCTAATAGGATAGAGAAAGAAGAATATTACTCATGGGTAGGGGACATGTAGTAGAAAATCCTGGGACTCCACCCTTGTCATAGGTTCCCTGACTAACCCTTTTTTTTTTGCCAAGATCCTCCATATTTCTCCCAAACTTTGATTCCGACTATGGTCTATCCACCCCAATTGCTAACATAGAGGCTTGGATCCTTGATAGCCATTTTAACATGACTGTACACAAATAATGTATGTTATAGGTGCCTTGTGCAACCCTTTGGTTCTGTTTGGTATCACTCATTGTACCCCCAACCTCTCTGCCCATTACGATCCCTGCTGTCAGCAAGATTCTCACATAGCCTGCTCCGCCACCGACCCCCTCCTACCATTTTTATGTCCCTACTTAGCTGATTCCTTAGAAGATCTGGCCACCAAGGGTGAGCCTTCAAATCACCACGTGGCTCATGTAGGTCCTAATGGCACCTCCCCTGCCTTTTACAATGGCTGAGATTCCTCAGTTTGTCTCTGTGTGCTTTAAAGAATCATCTTTGTATAAATTTGTATAAAAACAGAGTTCAGAGACCAAAGCTCGTGAGAGTCTGCACACGACAAATTAGCCAGAGCAGCATGGCCCGTAGCTATCCTTAGTCATTGTTTGACAGTAGAGGATAAATTCGATGTCTTCCATTGGTTTATTCCTTTCCTGTGTGAAAGCCCTTAACAATCTGGCTCCAATCTACCTGTCTTCCCTCTTTCACGTACTTGATGGTCCAGCCAAACTGGCCTTTCCGCAGTCCCTCACCCATGACAAACCATCTGAGCCTTTGAGAGCCTGTCTCTCCCCCCCACTCCCCGCCATGTTTGGAATGTTCTCCTTCCTCACCTCTACCTCATAAATACTGGATCCCTTTAGAGCTCAACCCCAGGGCCACCTCCTACGTGAAGCCTTTCCTGTTGCCCATAGCTGCTAATATCGACAACTGCCTCCCTGAAATTACCTGGTATTTTTTTGCTTTGTGTGTGTTTTGCATTTACTCATGTGCATACATGTTGTGCCCCCCAAGAACTTTAAGGGACTATGTAATTTCTGTCTTTCTATCCCCAAAGCCCAGTACAGTGCTTGGTATGTAGTAGGCACTTAATAAGTGCTTTTTTTGATTGATTGGTTCCTGAGTCTATTGAGGATTCAGGGCTCTTTGTATCCCCAAGGACCCAGGGGGAAGCCCAAGATGCCTTCTACCTCCCTCCGTTTTAACCATCTCCTGAGTAATGGAGAATATGGGCTTCAGTGCTCCCCATCTATTATGCTTACGCTGGCAGCGAGAGGCTTCCAGGGGCAGGTTTCAGTGGATTGCATCTGATGCGGACAGTGGTTGACCTCCCAGAAGTACAAGATTGTGTCACCTCATTAGACCTGCAAAGGAATCCAGACCACTTGGGGAAGACCACAGACACCTACTGGTGCTCCTGAGGAGTTAACCCGGCATGGACCTAAGGCCCCCTTCCAGCCGCAAGGATGCACAAAGAGAGACAGCCCAGATGACTGGTATTGGCTTAGTTTATTCATGTCTGAAAAGGCGGGAGGGAGAAAGATCAAGAGCCTCAGTAAAGGGGAAAAGGAAGAGTCAGGAGGAGATGGGAGGGTGTGATGGCACAGCAAAGAATTGGTGGATGTCAGAGGCAGAGCGGGGCATACATTTTCAGACATGGCCAATGTGTTCGTGGTTTTGTTTGGCTGAATTTATTTGTTGCAAGATAAGGTTCCATAGTGGAGGCAGAGGTGACAGTAATTAAAAGAAAAACGAAAATATCTTAAAGTCTCCAGGGGAACGAAACACAAGAATATGGATCATCGCGAGTACGGATTGTTTCACGCTTTGCACTCGTATCCCCGTGCCTAGCACAGTGCTTGGCACACAGTAGGCATTTGACAAATACTTGTTGATTGACTGATACAGAATTGGGGAATCTTTCATTTGAAGAGGTCCAGACCATCTGAGCTCTCCCTCTTGCTCCCAGGGCAGGACTGCCCCAAGGATAACACAGAATTCCAGAAGGTGCTGCGGACGATGGACCACAACTGCACTTAATGGGCAGATGCTTCACAGGTCACAGTGATTTTAGATCAATGTATGGCCAAGGAGAGATGGATGGATGCATGGATGGATGCCCAAGAACTCTCTACTTCAACCAAGGCTAGTTTCTTTACGTACCAGATCTCTGCATAGTGCCTCACCTGTAAAAGAAGATCACGTCGGGCATCCTTAGAGTTTCGGAGGGAAAAAGTTCAGCCGGGGAGGTGATTCCATCTAAGTTCATATTTGTTGTCACCCCTGCCAAAACAAAGTCTCCCGATTAATTCTCAGTAGGAACACAAGCTGAGAACTACCCTATTCCTCTAAGCCCTGTATCTCACCAGAAGTTTTGCAAACCTATATATCATCCTATCCCTGGAGGCAGCTAACGAATGGGGCAAAGGTCTAAAAAAGGAACAAAGAAACATGGTGAATTGGGAATGGAATTAGAGGTGGAATCTAGAAGTTCAAGTGCCCAGTCTGAATCTCTAACCATTGATGCATGTAGATTTTTTCTTCATTCATTTGCTCATTCACTTGTTCATTCAACTATTTACTGTCTACTACGTGCTGGACCCCTGGATCATTGCCTTGTTGTGGCAGAGAGGCTTACATAGCTCAATGAAATTATGAACTATGTTGTGCAGGGTTACCCAAGATGGATAGGTCATAGTTTGAGATCACAGGGTTATCCAAGACACACTGGTCATGCTTTCGAATTGTGGCACTGAAGAGGACTTTTGAGAGTCCCTTGGACATCAAGGAGATCAAATCGGTCAATGCTTATACAAATTAATTCAGGCGATTCATTGGAAGGTCAAGTAATGAAGCTGAAGCTTAAATACTTTGGCCACATGATGAGAAGATGAGACTTATTGGAAAAGACCCTGCCTGATGCTGGGAAAGATTGAAGGCAAAAAGAAAAGGGGATGGCAGAGGAAATGAATAGATAGCATCACGGAAACAATGAACACGAACTTGGACAGACTTTGAGAGACGGTGGAGGACAGATGGGCCTGGTGTTCTCTGGTTCATGAGGTCACAAAGAGTCAGACATGCCTGAACAACTGAACAAGAACACAACTCCTATGTGCTTAGCATAAGTTTGGGACTTTTCTTCCGTACTTGAGACCTGGCCGGCTGTGCCACTCACCTACAAGTCGATCGGCAAGGCTGACAGGTTGTGAGGAGACGCCAGCCTTATAGCCTGTCACCTCAGAGGGGATGATGACTGACTGACAGGCGTAGGAAGTGATGGATTTAGAGAAGCCTGAATCCCCCTCTGGGATCCGGATATCAGTGACATTATCTGTGCACAAAGCCATTTTCTTACCCTGGGGAAGAAATGGATCAACAGTTAGGGAAAACCTTCAAAGAAGAAGAGAGGACAAACTGGTTAAAGTCTAAGATTTCAGCTTTTCTGTGGTCCAGAATAGGGAATGACTCATTTCAGACTTAATTACAAGCTAGGAGAAAATCCCATGTGTCCTGGTGTTTGAGACTGTCAGGCATCCTCATTCTTTTGTGAAGAAGAGCTATTTTCCATGTGAGGTGGTTTGAGATCACTTCAGGTTTGAGGTGACTATGTGGGAGCATGGAGACCTGATTTCATTCATTCATTCATTCATTCATTTGCATTTTGAGTTTCAAGTTGCCTCCCTCCCTTCTCCTCAACCCTGCATTAGGGAAAGCCAACATTTGATAAAGATATATATGGGACTGATTTTCACTAAAAGTGGCCCATCACTGTAGAGAATGCACTTTGAGATGACAAAACAATCCCTTTATTATCTGCTGAGCTGGAGGAGCCAGTGACTCAGTGGACCTTTTAAAGGGGAGACAGCCCGTGGGCTTACTCTCTTCCTTCAACCCTCCAGGTGGCATCATGGAACTTTGAGGCATTCATGGCAGGGGAGGGGGGGTGGAGGATGCACCGTTAGGTGGCACAGTGGATAGGGTGCTGGGCCTGGGTCAGGAACATCTGAGTTCAAAACCAGCTTCAGACACTTAATAGCTGTGTGACCTGGGCTAGTCACTTATCTTCTGTCTGCTTCAGCTTCTTCAACAGTAAAATGAGGATAATAATAGCATCTACCTCATAGGGTTGTTGTGAGGATCAAGTGAGAGCCTGTTAACACAATAACTGGACCATAGTAGACACTCAATAAATTTATTCCTTTTTTTCCTTTCTCCTTTTCCCACCCTGGCACCACGGTGTCTGCTCTCACAAGACAACTAGAATAGGGGCTCTCCACTAGCCAAGGCTGTGCCTCGGTCCCTACCTATACTTTCTGCCTTGTGTTTCCTTTCCTGAGTAAATCAGGAGCATCAGCTTCAAGGTGCATATGTCTACTCTTAGAGTAGTGGGTTCAAGAGGTCCAGAGGTCCAGTGCTTCCTAACTGACTATGGTCAAGGGAAAGTGCTTCACTGGAGAAAATGTGAATAACAGGTAAATAACAGGGAGTTATTTGGACAGTGAAATGTGGCCATATCTTTTCAGACGTTCCCACATACTGCTCTGTGTTTTGTTGAGGTTTGTCAGCTTCCCAGAAGAGACTATAATAGTAGTTCTAAGTCACTAAATCCTGTTTTAAGTTCATTTTTGTCAAATTTATTCTTGCGAGTATTTGGTATTAAGTATTATTCCTTCTGTGCACAGGAAATAAATAACTGTCCCATACCTGATTCGGATTGTACACTGAGTACCTTTCTACTTTTCTTTTTTGGGGAAATCCCAGGTATGAGCCCAAACTTAAGCTGTTAAGTAAATCAGCCATGAGGCACTGGGGTAAGGGTTCAATAAGATGAAAAGGGTGAGGAAAGGAAGATTTAAGCTTCTTCTCATTATCAGCTGGGCCCCCCAGGACTGAACCTGGTCCAGGCTGAGTCTAGAGTAGAAGAACCTCCTCTTAGAGAAGTGAGTGGGTGCAGTACTTCAGCCCCTGTGGCCACATCAGTGGCTGCTTATTAGAAACAGATGAGCAAATAGGCACAAAAAAGTGAAGAGACTTTGTTAAGAAAATAAGCATCAGAGGTGGAATTTCAAGTCTTCCTGACTTTATCCACAATATAAAATGAAGGCGTTATAGACAATGGCTTTCAATATCCCTTTCAATTCTAAATCTATGATTCTGTGATCCTATGTCATGTTGCCTCTAATAAATAGTAAATAAAAGATTCAAACCCAGGTCCTCTGATTACAAATCCAAGATTATAGATTCACATCTGGATGGGACCTCCAAGAACATCAAGGACAGCCTGCCTCATTTACAGATAAGGAAATAAAGGAGACTGAGGGTCTAACCCAAGATGACAAAGGGCGTAAGAAACGGGGGACAAGTTCAGGAGAATCCAAGCCCTTGAACTACAGGTATGGGGCTCTTACTTTGACCCGGATTGCGACTCTGCCATCCAGTTGGCTATCAGTTCCAACTTTGTGCCATCAGCATATTTTATTAGCATACAGTGTATGCCTTCACTCACATTGTTGATAATCATGTGAAAAGTACAGAGACAAGGACACATTCCAGATCCCATCTGACACGATTGCCAGATTTTTCCTTATGTGTTTACGTTCATGTCTTCCTTTCTCCCACAACTCTTAAACAATTTCTTTTTGCTTGGTCATGTCCAACTCCTTGCAAACTGTCCATGGGATTTTCTTGGCAAAGATACTACGGTGGCTTGCTATTCCTTCTCTGGTAGATTAAGGCAAACATGCCTGGCATCATGCAGCTTGTAAGTATCTGAGACCAGATTTGAACTCATGAAGATGAGTCTTCCTGACTCCAGGACCAGCATGTGATGCACTGAACCATTTAGCTGCTCCCAAATGGCTTCCTCGTAGCTATCAAAACCAAATGCCTTAACCTTATTTTTAACATTCTTCACAATTATGACTGCAGCCTACTTCCCAGACTTTCACAATACTACTCTAGGCAAACTAGATTTCTTACCATTCTCCATTTGTGTTCAGTGATTTATTGTCTTGGGGCCTGCTTTCATGCTATAACCAATGCCTTAAATACCCTTCCCACCCCCTTGCCCCATTCTCTGTTTACTGAAATCCTAAGTATCCATCAAGACTCAATGAGCTTCCTAAATCCTAGGCAGCTAGGCGGCATACCCAGCTGGGCCTGGAGTCAGGAAGACCTGAGTTCAAATCTGGCCTTAGACTTTTTCTAGTAGCTATGTGACCCTATGCAAGTCACTTAACATGTTTGCCTCAGTTTCCTAAACTGTAAAATTAGGATAATAATAGCACCTACCTCGTAAGGTTATTATGAGGACCAAATGAGACAATATTTTAAAAAGCACTTAGCACAGTCCCTGACACATAGTAGGTACTATATAAATGCTTATTCTCTTCCCCTCACCCTCCAAAAAAAAAAATCCCTTCAGCTTTAAATGATCTTTCCTTTTCTGGGTTTCCAGACAGTACTTTCTCTATTCCTCTTCTCATGCATTTTTTTTTCTGTTTTGCATGATAAACTATTCTCTTACATATGATGCCCTTTCACTAAATCATAAGCTTCATGAGAGCAAGGATTATTTCATATTATTTTTTATATTTTCTCCAGCACCCCACTTATTCCTTTGCACATTGGCATTTAATAAATGTTTATTGAATCATATTTTCAAAAACAGTTAAAAAAAAGATAATCCCCAAATTTTAATTATTCAGGGAAAAAATGTACTAGAGGGAAAAGTTGTTTCCCCACCTTTTTTTTTCCCCCTCAATATTTCATCCCTCATCCATCAGCAGCCTTTCCCGAGTTCTCTCCCCACACATACACCTGCATACATTTTACCTGGTTTCCACAGAGGCTGAGGGTAAAGTGGTGGAAATACTTGAGCCCTTTGGAAGTAAAGCTTGGTCCCCCAGACAGAGAGATAGGATTTGCCAAAGCCGAGAAGTCATAGTTGAAGGTTCTGGCTACATTGGCGACAGAGAAGGTGCAGTCGTTGAAACAGAGCGAGTGGATCTGCAAAGAGCAACGGGAGCTCAGTCAGCTGTCTGGCCCTCGGGGCACTGAGACTGGAGCATGAATCAGAGCTACCAGGAAGGCTGGAGCTGGAACCCAATCAGGCACTTTCCCAAATTGAACCAGCCCAGAGTTAGAGAAAGGAGAAAAGAATAAGGACTGAATTGCAATAAAGTGCTGATAATAATGAGTGATTATAATGTCTATCCTTGGGAAATGGACCTCTCTCAAAGCACCATCTTCATATTTAAACCAGGACTCAGCCTCTTCATTTTATGGTAGAGAAGACTGAGTTACTGACAAAGGAAGGGTGGCTAGGCTGAGAGAAGAAAACCCAGCAGTCTCCCCCCTCCCCTTTCATCATACTTGACTCACAGGTGATTTGCAGGTTTCCATAACAGAAGTACCCTGGTCAACAACCTAAATCTCTTATTTCACCTCCCCTCCCCAACCTCACTTCTTAGGTTTCTGTGGAAAGAGTACCCATAGCTGCTCGTGTTCCTTGCTCCTTTTTTGGGGGAAGCCATTCGGAGGCCTCAATCACTGATGATAATTAAAGTGGTAAAGTCTGCAAAGCCCTTTATATAAAGCTTCACATAAACATTATTTCATTTCAGCCTGGAGGTCGTGATGTGCCATGGCAAGAAAGGGATGGATGTGGCAAGAGTCCCCTCCATGCCTTAGAAGACAGTGATGGTACCACTCCTCCAAAGAAAAAGTTAGATTCCCAAAGCTGGACTAGACAAATTGTTATGAAATCAGGCTGGATTATATTGAAATGGACTGGAAGCTTGGGGCACCAGGGCTCCCTCCTTCTCTTTGCCCTCCTTTCCCCCACTTGTTATGAAAAATATACATTTTCACTTGTTAGGCCCCTGCATAAATGCCTCATTACCCTCTAGGTTTAGATGGATTCTAATCTCTCTTATTTATCCCTAAAGGAAGAAGAGAAGATGAACTCAATTCCATGCCATCCCCTGAAGGTGAAAGGGAGCTCTGGGCTCTGAAAAGCAAGGGTATATCATTCACAGGGCCAACACATCCTGGGCATCCAGCATCCTGGGTATATGCCCAAGAAATATGCTAGAGCTTAGACGATTAAGATCTCTTTGACTTGATTAAATAGCAGCCAATCTGACATGATAAATGAATGGGTAGAGTTGATTGGGTGGCACCTTGTTACTCTGGGTCCCTGGGCCACAGGGCACACAGGCCTGGATGCCATAGGGCTGGTGTGCTCTCAGGAATGTGTTCTTAGGACAGGAGTGGCAGGCCCCAGATTCTCGGTTGATGTAGTAGCCAGCGGGACAGGAAGCACAGGAGGAGCCAGAGTCAGAGGCCTCCAGTGCACAGAGGCGGCAGTAGGAGGCCACCCCATCCATGACATTGGTGACATTGATGGAGTAGAGCTTGGCAACATCATTGGTGTACTTCCGGCCCTAGGACCAAGAAGAAAGGAGAAAGAGATCAAAGGATATGTATTTGAGCCCCAGGGGAAGAATCCACAATTGAGGTTGTTGGGGATCAACAGATTGACCTCTTATCCTATAATTAGGGGATAAGCCGAGAAATACTCTGCTGTGTTTACTGTGTTCATTCTACTTCTCATCCATGCATTCCACAAATATTTACTAAACAGCTGTTATATAAGGCATTTCTCTCCTTTTAAACACAGGGCCGGATCTAGAATAGACACTGAGGAGATCTTTGTGATACCAGACAGAAGCTGTTAGATTCTGGGACTGGTTATCTAGGAGGGCTATGGTAACCACTTACCCAGGAAAGTATTAGGAATAAGACAGATCCCTACTTGTCTGGTCAGGGTTATTTATCTCAGGTAGCAGAAACAAGTATCCCAGGCTGGTTATGAGAAGATAAATGGGATGATCTCTTACAGTTCTTCTAAACCTAGTGCTCTGAGCATCACCCCCCACTCCCAGGCTAGTTCTGAGAATTCTCCCTTGTTCCAATTGTCTTGTCCTGAGCAGTGATGCTTCCTGGGGATGAGAGCTAGGCTAAGTGGAGGATCTTACTGTTTCATGGGAAGTGGTCCTCTGGAAGGCCCAGGTGAAGCTCATGCTGGAGTTCTTCTCAATGATGTAAGTGTAGGACTGTTTGCCCTTGCGTCCTTTCCAGGTTTCCACTGGCGTGTTAGTCCTGGAATTCATTCCCTGAATCCAAAACAGGGATAGAATTTTTGTACTGAGTTTGAACCCTCCCTCTACCTGCCCTGGCCTCTCCATTCTGTCTTCCTCATGGCAGTGAATGTAGAAGTATATCATGAAGACCTAATTAGAGTAATCACTAGACTCATAATTAGTCTGTGAACAAGGATGGTGCCTTCTTTCTCTTCTGAGTCTCCTCAGGGCACTGAGGTATAAGTCCTTCCCTTCCACCCCACTCTTCCCGCACAGTAGATGCTTACCAGAGTGAGCAGATGAGGTTAACCCTCCCTCTGGTCCCAGGAGGTACCCCATCAGGCCAGGGAAGCAACCTACCACCATGAAATAAAGTTCGCAGTTCACGGAACACACAGTCTCAAAGACAAAAGTGATTCTGGCCACCTCTTTATTCTCTGTGTCTGCCATCACTGAATGTGGAGGGCTGTGGGAGCAGAAGCCAGATGTCACTTCTGGGGGGCCATAAATATCAATTTAAAAAAACCAACACAGGCCAAAAGGGAGAGGGAGCCCGATGAGGCTATAGGTGCTCTGGGAGAGGCCCTCAGCTCTCTCGTCTGGTTTCTTTAACGAAGGCCTGCCTGTGCCCACCCAGAAAGCCGCTCAAATCCCAGCTCTTCCTGCGCTGAGGGTACAACAACCCTTCTCTTCCCTAAATGTGTCTGACAGTTTGACTCTATGCAGAACCACGAGAAACAGTGCTGGGGGTATAAGTGGATGATCAGGTGCTTCACTAGAAAGGGGCAGGAACACAAACAAAAATCCTAAAAATATAGATAATCCTTCTCATGATAAGCTCATGATGGGATTCAAGCAGGACAGAAAGGAAGAAGAAGTGAAGTTATACTGGCAAAGGAAAAGTTGATCAGAGAGTTTTGGTCTTTTTTCCTTGAAAAGCGTAAGTGGAACAGAGAATTCATGGTGGATCTGGAGAAATCCAGTGACAGCTTGGCTTCCCACTCTGGCCCTTCCTTCTCCTTGGTTCTGGGGGCCCCCACATCTCAGGTCTTCTGTTCCCAAGCCAATGGTTCCATTCACCATTGGCGGAGACAGAAGATTTTAGCCTGGGCTCCCAGGGGCCCAAGCCCAGGGGAACCACAGAGTCCTAGTGTTGGGAGGGACTGGAAAGTTGTTTTAGTCAGGTCATGTGTACAGATAAGGAGGCAGGCCCAGAAGGATTACGTGATTTGTCCAAGGTTAATGACAAAGCCATGACTAGTCCCCTCCAGCCTCTTTAGTCCACAATACCATGTCACATGTCACATGTCACATCCTCCTTAAAAAAGGGGAGAGGGAACATTCAAATAATACTTCTTGACCAATGAGGACAAAAGGCTAAAAAGCAGGGGGATAATCCCTCTTCTCAGGGAGGCCAGATGGCAATACCCTTCCTATAACATCGAGGGACAAGAATGACAACTAGCAACATTGTGTACTGGGAAGAAAACTGGCCCAAGAGTTTTGAAAGTCTGTGATCCAGTGTAAGCTCTGTAACTGGTGGCGCCATAGTGCATGAGAGTGCCAGGCCTAGAGTCAGCAAGACTCATTTTCCTGAGTTCAAATCTGGCCTCGGCCAGACTTACTAGCTGGGTGGCCCTGGGCGAGTCCCGTTTGCCTCAGTTTCCTCCTCTGTAAAATGAGCTGGAGAGGGAAACTACAAACCCCTCCAGTATCTTTGCCGAAAAAACTCCAAATGGGGCGGTGGAATTGGACACAGCTGAAACAACTCAACAATAAGAACTGAGTGGATGTGTGACTCTGGGGCCCTGGTTTCCTCATCTGTGAAATAAAGCTTTGGATTAGATTTCTAACATCCCTTCCAGCTTTGACGGAATTTTGTCAAGCAACAAGACAACAGCAACGCTATGGTGCACTCGGTAAACTTGCATGTGTGGCTGTCAGGAAACCATGATTTCATTCAGATTTCAAGCCTGAGAGCCACCTCTTAGAAAAACTTGGCCTTCTGCGATTTAGATGTGGCGGCTTTAGCTCCAACACCTCCTGGGAGTTTATATTCCTCACCTGAATCCTGGTATAATCAGCGTAAGAATCATGAAGTCGTTATCTGAGGCTCCAGCAGCTGTATAAATATGGTCACCAGCCACCTCCCAGCCTGGAAAATCAGGGAGAAGATGGTGCATTCCTGAGACCTCGAGCAGTAGAGTCAAGTATGACTAAACTGAGAGAACGAGGCAAAATGAGTTTCTGAAATAGATGGAATCCCTTGGTCCCCAGGCAAGAGGTTCATGAGGTGATTCAGTTACTTTGGTCAAAGACACTGAAATCATCAGGACAAAAGGAAGAAGAATTACAAGGTTTAGAAGGCAAAGTTCATTTCTATAGGGCATCAACAACACCAGGGAAAACTGCAGAGACACGGAGGTGGACACAGAGGTGGAGGACAGAGTCATGGGATGGAAAAGGGAGGGCCCTTACCTGCCATGCCCTTGTACTCAAAATTGATTCCACTAAGAACAGTTGTTTCCATATTTGTGGGCAGGGTGTTCCACCATTTGTATTCGAAACCCAGAGCTGGTTCAGTCCCAGCTGGGCAGCTGACACAGCCTAATAGGAGGTGAAGCACAAGAGTTACTGAGCAGGAAGACCCTACTGACCCAAAATGGAGCTGCAGCCATGTTGGTTAATGACAACAATAGTCAGACAGTGAAAAAAGGTGCAGTTCTGTTCTAAAAATGCCTGCTATTGACTCAAAAAAATCTAATTCTCATTTACCATATCTAACAAACTCCAAATGTGACAAAAAAATTGACCTGTATTTTATAGGCCAGAATGATGGAGCAAAGGCAAAAAAAAAGATTGAGAAGTGCTAGATACCCACAAGTTCAGGCTTCTCCCCCAATTTTTCAGTCTAAAATCCTGGTGTATCTTATAGTTCAGGGCATCTTCAAGCCCAACACATGCAGTTCATAGGATTGGATGTAATTCATCCCCAATGCCTTTTTTCCCCATCATTCCTGGACTCTGCTGTGTCCAATCGGGCTACCTCAGGCTGGGAAACCTAGTGATACCATCTTCTGCACAGATAGAAGCAGCCCCTGTTGTTGGGACATAGTCGCCTCCTATCCAAGTTATTTCCTTGACTCCTGTGCCAGTGTCTGTAAGATTTCGTGCTAGAAGAAGGAAGGGAAGAGATTCTGAAGTTGGACTCTGAAGAGTGTGGGACTTCAGGTGTCCTGTATCCCAGGATGGTACTCAGGCCAGTGTTCCCCCTCAGATCAGAGGCATCTGGCTCTTAGTACGTTCCTCAGGAGACAGAGGGTTGTGTTCGGGGCTCACGGTGGGATTATCAACCTAGCCATGAGACCCACTGTAGGGTGAGATGGTAATGGATAGTGCAGCAGGTCAGGACAGAAGGTGAGGAGTAGAGGTTACCTGAGCCATTGGAGAAGGAGCCGTAGGGACAGGGCTCACAGGTGCTGGTGTTGGTTTTGAAGAATCCTGGGTTACAGGGTGGGCAACGGGTCTTCATTCCAGAGGCTGGAAGTTTCATTGCTCCCTCAAGATCCTCACTGCAAGTTTTTGGCTCCGCCCATTTGTACATGAGCTGTGTCTGGAAAAAAAAAGAAAGAAAGAAAAGAAAAGATCCAAGTATTGCTAGCCATCCACCTTGTAGGATTCACAACATATCAAAGGGGTACAATGAATAAACTATTAGATCCATTGGAAATCAAACCAATGGGCAGTGGGAACTATAGGAAAAAGGGATAGTCACTCATCCATTTAATGACTAGTATATATAAGCCACAATGCTAGGCACAGTAAGAGAAAGACAAAGATAATTATAATACTATCTATGGACTGTGTTAGAACTACCATGTTAAACTGAATATATACTGGAACAAAGTATATGTAATAGGGACTCATAGTTTCACATAAAAAATTTTTTTCTTTGTATACGGAAATGCTCATATTTATTGAGATTTAGCAATATCATAATAAAAAAGAAAATTTAGCAAAATATATTTTCTATGCCCACATAGAACTCACAACTTGGGAAGAAGGGGATACAGCAAAAATGTATTTTGGTATATAACAATGATGTAATATTGCCTCCATAATTTTTTTAGTTGAAACAGCTGAATTTTATATATCTACACATATACATACAATCTTATTTTATTGCTAGAATTTCTAACATCCTAAATTACTCTGTATTTTATAGGCCAGATAATAATATTCAGGCATAGATAATAATATAAGTCCAGGCAGGAAAGTGCTAGATTTATAGAAGTTCAGGTTTTCCCTTAAATTTCACATTTCAAAACCTCAATGCAGCTTATAATCTAGGGCACATTCCTCACCCCTGTCTATGGCATTCTCTAGCCCACAAAGTACTGGTCATATTATCTGGCATGTAATTCTACTAAGGTTAAAATCTCCAGAAATCATCTCCAACTCCTTTCTCCTCATTGGTTCACTGGCCTTTGCTTTGTCAAATTGGCCAATCACAGGCCAGAAAAACTGGTTAACCTCCCCTCCATGATAGCTATATAACTATTTAAAAAATCATATGGGTTTTAAAAATATTTTTTATTTATTGTGTTATATTGATAATTTTTCTGATTTTGAACCAGCCTTTGATCCCTCATATAAACCCAAATTGGTCATGAGGAATAATATTTTATTGTATTACTGTGATCAATTAGTCAATATTTTATTTAATGTCATTAGGGAAATTGGGCTATAATTTTCTTTTTTAGTATTATCTTAGCTGGGTATTAAGGTCAACACCTGACAGGTAGTGTGAAGAAGTGGGTTAGAAGACCTGGGTTCAAGTTTTTCTTCCAGCACATACTAGTTATATGATCCTGGGTGAGTTCAAACTTTACCTCTCAGTGCCCCCAAGCAGGGGTTTCTCATAGACATGCCTAATATGAGAGAAATTGTAGGTCAAATTACATCCCAAGACCAAAAATCTAGAGTGTATTATTAAAGAGATGGTTAGTTAATATCTAGAAAAGGAAGCAGAGATGAGGGAATGATAAAAGTCAGAATCCAAGAGCATTGGACTAATCTAACAAGATAAAATCCAAAAGGAATAAAATAAAGTCTTGTATTTAGATATAAGAAAACCCCAACTTCCCAAGACTGGGGAGTCACAGACAGACAGTAATTCTGAAAAAGAACTAGGGGTCCTGGTGAACTGAAAGCTCAGTGTGGATTACCAAAAATGAGAACTTGAGCTTGGGATACATACATAAGAGATACATATCTTCTAAGCATCAGGGGTGGGGGAGAGTGATCGTCTCCACTGTACTCTGCCCTGGTCAGACCTCATCTGAAGTACTGTGCCCAGTTCTGGGCATCACAAGGACATTGATAAGATACAGAGCATCCACCTGCATGGTGAATTGCCTTGAGTACACATCACGCTAGGATTGCTTGAAAGAACTGGGATTGTTTAGCCTGGAGAAAGGATGACTCGGGGGACAGACAGCCATGTTCGAGTATTTGAAGGACTGTTGTGTGTCATTGTTTATCCTTCATTTTCAAAGAGGACCAGTGACATCACAGGGCGATATAATGACTTGCTCGTGAATTGGATTTAAGTGAGGCAAAGTTGCACAAAGTCTTCAGCCTCACTCTTTCTTCCATAATCACAAAGTCCAGTGGTAGAACAAAAGTGAAGATGACTGGTGATGGCCCAGGATACAGCGGATGACCTTAATGTCTTCCACATCTGACCAAGCTCTAAGAACTCTACAGCACCTATTTCAACTGCCTTTGTGGCTGTTGGAACACATTGTTCTCATCTGTCCATTCCATTGGGGAAGTCTTCACACACTTGGCGTAGACATCCCCTAATTCGCCAATGGGTGTGAGGCCTGTTGGTTACCTTTAACTTGGTTTAGCCTGTTTGCTGAGATGGTTTTACCAGGGTGCGGCAACTGCACATGCTCCAGCTTCTTGGAGACACAGGTGAGAGTTGGGTGACAAGTGGACACCAAAGGTAGATGAGCAGCCCTTACACCAGAGGTGGTAGTCCTCCTGAACAACCCATTGTCATGTGTCATAGAGGAGGGATTAGATTCATTCTGTTTGGCTCCAAAAGGTTAAACTGGGAGAAATGAATACACATTTCAAACATGTTAATTTAGGCTTGATGTCAGGAAACATCAACTTCCTAACAATTCAAAGTATCCAAAAGTAGAATGACTTGCCTTTAGAGGAGACAGTAGATTTCTCTTCCAAGGTCTTCAAGCAGAGGCTAGACCACCACTTGGCAGGTATGTTATGGGATTCTTTAATATATGGGTTGAACTGGGTGGCCAATGAAGTCCCCTCCAACCCTCAGATTCTATGATTCACATGTGGCTTTTGACATGGGAGGAGCATCAGGTAAGTCTAAGTCCTAAATAAGGAGGAGGTCTTTTTATACCTAAGTACAAGACTTTATTTTATTCCTTTTGGATTGTATCTTGTTAGATTAGTCCAAAGACTCTGTGTTCTGCTGTTACTGAGTTATTTGGATGGTGATGGTCTGACAAGAACAGGGAGGGGGGTTTGCTTTGTACAACCCCAAGTTTGCTTTCTTTCAGAGAGGAATTTGAACCACAGTGTAGGCTTCTTTCTGGAAGTCTTTAGGATCCTAGAAAAAGGTGGGACTCATGAGAGGAGAACTGTATCAATTGTTTATGGACTACACTGAATCCTTTATGGGTTTTCTATGGGGTGGAATAAAGGAATAAATAATGAACAATACTCAATATATGCATTTACCTTGTAAATCTTACCATTTACCCAATACATGTTACGTGGATATGGATATGTTGTGGACTTATATGGACTCTGAGGACCCTTTTACTCTCATAGTAGGGAAATAGACACAAGTCACAACTGAACTATATTCTAAGAGTTCTCAGATGCAAGGAGAGAGAAGAGGGAAACACAAGCCAAAGAGAGTGATTTGAGGAAACCACCTTGAAGATTGAATCTGATCTATGTAATCCTAAATCTTGAGATGCTAGGCCATGGTAACATTAAAAAAATCTGTACAACAAGGAAATATATAATAAAAAATCAAAGACTGGAGAAAATAGCAAATATGCTAGACAAAAACCTGATATCTAAAATACATAAACAACGGTTAAACATTTACAAAGGTAACTCCATTCCATGATATTCAAAATCTATGAATAATTTTGAAAAGAAGAAACACAAATTGTTGATAATCACTTGGAAAAAATTGCTCAATCTTATTAAAAATTAAAGAGATGCAAATTAGGACAATTTGAGGTAGCATCTCACATCTGTCAAATTTGCAAAAATAATGAAAAGCAATGATATTCATCACTAGCAGAGTTGTGATGAAACAAATGAACTCATTCAGTTTTACTGGAATTGTAACCTTGTAGAATCATTTTGGACAACTATATAGCAGAATGCAGTTAATGTTTAAAAAAAATCATACTCAATAATACCCGATAATTCTGTAGTTGGGAAAGTATTGTGAGAAACAAACCAAAAAAAGTGCTTTTTGTCAAAGATTTTCACTGCAGTATTATATGTGTAACTTGGGCATGCCCAGATTGCTTAACCTTGAGGGACTTTTGTGGCAAGTTTAGATTAGCTAACACAGAGGCCTTTGAACCCCTCCCCCCCATGTAAGTGGGTAGCCTTTGATTGGCTACATAACCAACTTCAAAACTTTCAAGAATGAGACCTCTCTCTCTCCCCCCATCTCTTTCTCTGTGACTCTGACTTTCTCTCTCTCCCTTTGTCTCTCTTTCTCCGTCTCTGTTTTTTTCCTCCTCACTCTTTCTTCCTACATCCAGAGGGTGAAGTTCACAGTTCACCCACAGTGCAGGCACCATGAACTGAACCAGTAACAGGGAAAGGACTTCCTCCCTCTGTTCCTTCTCTCTTTACCCTGGCTCAAAGAGATGGGCGTGGAGAATGTTTGTTTCTGTTCTGTGTCTTTGTCCTTCTCGGTTTCAGGTGCTGGCAGGGATCCTTGCCATCCCACTTGACTGGGAGTTCAAGTCATGGTCACCTTGGATCCAAGATTGCAGGTAGGATGGTACAGTTAGTTAGTCTGGCAGGAAAGCCTGCAGATGCCAGGGTGCTGGGGTCCTGAGTCCAAAAAGGGCTTTGGACTTGGAATTTGGGACTGGGCTGTATAGGAACTGAGTTAAATTATGAATTAAATAATCCCTCCCAACACTTTCCTCTGACACTGAGGTGATGGTGGTAAAGGGAGGAAAATTTTGGCTCCCATGTGATAAGGGAGTAAGTTTGTATAATTGTGATTTTATCTTTTGAAGGAAATATTTCTTTGTAAAATCTAACCTATTCGTGGCTAAATGGAACTGGGGTTCAGGAACCCCCCTTCCATACTTAGGGGAACACCATCAGTGTGGACTGGAGCCATTTTCAGAGAGTATAGATGGCCTCCCCCCAATTCCCTTAAGGTACCGGACAACTCTGGAGGAGGAGTAAAATCTAACACACCTGGCCTTTAGGCGATGAGGAACATGGTGGTCAGTGTTATGTGTGGGGGCTGTACTGCAGTAAAATTGAACTCTTCATTTTTATAGGGACACAGAAGAA